AAAAAGAAATGAGTCAAATATCATCGCAAATAGTTTCACCACTTTAGCACAGAACAGTAACCTGAAAAAAGGGCCAATTCATCATCTCAATTAGAAGCACATGGATAATTAGAAAAACATCCTGCAGTCATGTGAGAAGAGTTAAAGAGCAGAAGACGCCTTTCACTCCATCCTCTGCTGCTATTCTGCAGACTTTACGCAGTATGATGGTAATATTCATACTGAAATATTAATAATTAAATTCAACATTTGAACTGTTGAACTGTAATCATGTAACTGTATTACTGGGTTGACTTCTTCAACCACAACAAATGTATCACCAATACCGAAAAGAAAACGAGGAGCTTGGAAAAAGTGAAACAACAAAAACAGGCACCTCCAACTTTATTGACCTGTCCAGCACGTCTACTGTAAAAATACTTAAAATTAAAATATCTTTAATTGCATTAGAATAACTTCTAGCTGGATATTTAATCAGTAGACAACCTTTAATTTAAAGTTAATTTCTTCATTGGGGGGATGGCTGATTTGCTTTTACACATAAATCAAGACAAAAATTAAGCTTTTTTGTTAAAATAAGTTACATAAAAAAAGCATAATATCAAACTGAAAACAAATTTCTACAGCCATAATGACAAAGATATTTTATAGTATAAATTAAATGACTGAATAAAGATTTACCTCATTTAAAGTGACTGATCCAATTCAAGAGTGGTCCAAACAGTTAGTACTGGTCGTCTCACAATAAATGGACACAACGTAGAGACAACTCGAGTGTGTAACAAAGTCACCAGTGTCTGAAAGGTCTAATCAATGGCTAATCAGTACTGGCTACCATTACGGCATAAAGACTAAAGAACACCAAGCAAAGCAGACAAAGGACTATTGAAAATCTCTAAGACACTGAACATGCAATCATTAAGAAATGGAAGGAAAATGTGTAAATCAACCCAGATCAAACAGAGTGACAATCCAAGATGGAGACTAGTGAGAGAGGATTTACAAGCTTCAGCAACTGAAATGAGAGATGCAAGAAACATTACCTGGGTTTTTCACCAGTCAAATAACAGCGGCAACGACAAAGACACTGTTAAAGAAAACTCATCAAAGATTGACTAGTTTTCCAAACAGAATGTGGGAGACTCCATCGTCATCTGGATGAAAGTTCTTTGGTTTGCATCAAATCGTATTTGCGGCAGATGTATTACTGTCTAAACTCCATCATCAGCAAGTAAAGATGCTCTGCTTCAAGTCAGAACCTGAGATGTATGACGTCACGTGGAAAGAGCATGATCTTTGGACTGACGAGACCAAAATTGAGCTTTCTGTCCATCAGACGAGGTTCTGTGTTTGCTGGACACCAAACACTGTACATCACCACCCCCACTGTGAAGCAGAGTGGTGGAGGTATCATGCTGTGGGGATGCTTCTCAGCAAGCAATTAAAAAAAAAACAAATGGTAAAATGTCCAAGAGCTCAATGATTTACTGGTGAATGTTGAAGAGTCATTTCTTTTTTAACATGTGTAAAACTTTGAAACATAAAGTCACTTCCTGTTTCGCTGGGGCGGTAAGGCACAGGGTGGCCAGTTTCTCTAAAAACATTAATTGAAATGGGAAAGACACTATAAGATGACATTCAAGTAAGGCATATTATGAGAATGTATCACCATAAATCATAAAATGACTTCAGGAATAAAAAAAGTCTTGTTTATTCTTGCCCAAAAGTCCACTCATCAATAATTAAGACGTTTAGCAAAGAGGGTTGGACAAATAGTGATATTATGCTTTGCAGCTGAACTACATCAAGTTTGTTTTCAGTTCCACTTTAAAAATATCTATTTCTAATAACATAACTTGACCGGCTTTTTTAGGAAATAATTGATCTTTTTAAAATGTGGACAGTCACACACTGGACGGGAAGCACAGATGAAAAAGTGTGGAAAGACGTAAACAGGCATAAATCCCACCTGATATCACAAAATTTCCTATCATGCAGCCCTACAAAACATTTAAATGTTACTTTCCATTACATATATAAATAATTTCTATCAAGCACCACATTTCTTTCCGTCCTTGCTTAGACTTTTCCCTTCAGTTAATTGTGCATTTTGTTGCTTTATTACATAGTTTTCTCTTTAAAATTCGCAAGCAACGGCTTATGCTTTGTAAAGGGAAAAAAGTGAATATTTTATAGTAGACGACTCCATGACATACAAAATTATTCCAGCTTCTTTATTTTTAACCTCTCCACAAAAAAAGTGAGTCTGCTCTTCTGGTTAGCTTCTTATACATTGCAGGGTCAGTGCTGCTGTTTACTTGCAAAGTAACAAATGTCAATATGAAAAAGGAGCAAACAAAATGGGAGGACAGCATCTTATGTGCCAGCATGGATCAAAGTTAGCCGTGCAAAACATACACAAATCCCATGTTTAAATAAGACAGGGCCACTACTGCAGGTAAGGAATCAAGCTAGAGTCTGGTCCAGACTGCTATTTTTACCTTCCTCTGGATTTAAAGGTAATGTCAGTCTCATTAACGCACCAGGAGGGGGAGATAATTAGATTACGTCATCAGACTAAAGAGCAAATGGACTCTCTTCAGTTCCCGTCAAAACACAGTAAGGCTCTCCTCTCGGGCTAAAAGGTCACCGACCTAATCTCTAAATGCAGTGCTCTTAATGCTCTGACAAATGCGAGTCCTCACACCAAGATCTAGTGCTCTAATTGCCAGGCTTTGTTAGATGGTGACGATGTGATTTGGTTTGTCTGCATCACAAAATGCTTCTCCATTAAAGGATGCAACACCACGCCTCCTCCGGGCAGCAGTAACGTAAACGAGATCTATATCTGCATGGAGAATGTCTGTCTGGCTCCACTCATCCAGGCTGCTTGCATGATACATCAGGATGAATACCGAGTATCGACCTGAGCTCGCTCTCCTTTGAGACAACTAAAGGTCAGTCTGAGCCAAAGTGAACACCAGAGGAGCAGAAAACAAGAGAGCCGAGGACAGAATGAACTTAAAAGTTTCACAATCTTGAAAATTATCAGATTTTTTTTTTTTTTTTGCATCTCATCTTAAAGGAAAACCTGTCTCCACTACAAACTCTTGGCTTGTTTAAAGGGAAAGTAACTGTATGTTTACATTTACAATCCCTCTGTAAAATCAAGTGCTGAGACAGGCCCAAATGTAGGCCAGCCACATCAGTAAGTGAACACACACAACAGCGACGTGTGTGTGCTTGTGATGATAAATAAAAGTGATGAGTAAAACAGATGTGATTCCATGTTACTAGCTACTATGACAGGGCAGCTTTGAAGTTAGCAACTGGATGAGATGCCAGCAGATAACTGGGATTTATAGCCACTTTAAATCTTTGCTGGGCTTTGCTTTGTGCAGGGAAAAGACACCATGACAGATCTGTTTATTGTACAAACCTGCCAGAGAAGGCAGGGTTATGTTCACTTTACACATCCACTTTGAGACATCTGTAGCTGCTCTTATCTCCACTGCTGAAGTGCTTAACACTCACCTTCAATCCATTTCATAATCCTGTTCTCTGTTATCATATTCTCTGCAAATAATGGTGAATAAATTGAATTTTAAGACTATTCCAGTGGATTAAGCTACTAGCATCGACATCCAGGTAAACACCTTTAATTAGGAGAGCTTGTTCATAAAACTCAGCCATGTTTGGTGCCTATTTCAGTATTTGAGATATCACAAAATAAAATATGCCAGTAGAGATGATGTCAGTCCAGGAGGAACTGAAAGAGAATAATCATAAGTCTGCTAAGATGTTTTTATCAAGTCTTTCATGTATTTTTACTGTTCAGGGGTTATTTGCTTAGTTATCTTAAAATGAAGTGTGAAGTTTTGTTTTTGTGAATTTTAACTATAAAATTACTAAATATAGTTTGAATAAAGTAAAAAAAAATCTTTCATTTTGGACAATGACAAAAAACTAAATCTCACATAAAAACAACAGAAATCTTACTTTGTGGATTTAAATTTTCACTGAATGTTTTCTTTTGTTTTGCAGCATTTTGGCTTAGCTTTGCTTTATACATTTACATACACTGATGTTAAAAATAGCTCAAACTCACATCTATACATTGAAAATCATATTGTAGCATAATTTTAATGCATCACTCAACATGAAATTCATTTTATTATGCTGCATCCAGATATGTAAAAACAAAATAAGAACAAATCACTTGGCTGTCAATTGCAAAAAGTAAAATAGTCATTTAAGTGAGCATATCAATACGTAAAAACCAACAATTAAAGACATATTATTTTTGTTCTTTTATCTCTTACATAGATTTGTGCATTAAAATAATAAATTAACTTAAAATAGTAGAAATGGTTCTATATCTATTGTTATTTTTGTACTGTTTCAATATTTCAACCCACAGATTAAAAACACACACACACACACACACACACACACACACACACACACACTGAAAATTAATTAAAGTGCGGATAATAAACCGGGAACCAGCACTGGTTTAAATTTGGTCACTGATTTAAACAAGGATGCTCAGTTTTAAAGGTAATATGGTAACTTCCTTACACCTAAAGCATGCAATATAAATTTTGAAACACCTGAAATAAAGTTCACTATATTTTAACACGAAGAAAAGCGTTAAAACTGTTTTTACTTGGGAAAAACAAGCTAAGTTAAAAAGACAAATCCCAACAGCTGGAGTCATCTTTAAATTATCCTGAGGTTTCTAGATTTTAAATTTATATATTCCCGTAGGTTAGAGTGAATTATTAAATTATGGGTTTAATCTCATAGTGTATTATCACCACTTTAAAGATGGTAAACTTCTTGTTTCAGTGTGTTTCCAGCTAACATGCTAACGTTAGCTTGGTTAGATTCCCCCTCAGCATCCGAGCTGACTAGCGGCTCCGCTAGCCTCTACAGCGGCCAGCTAGCTTTCCTTTCTGACCGCACAAACAAGCAAAACATTAAATTAACTTTTTTACCTTGCGACGCTGTGCCCTCCGCTGAGGTTTTGGCTGCAGCTCTGAAGGTAAGGTATCCCAAAAGGCAGAGCACAGTTGCAGCGGTCCGACTCCAGTCCACAGCCCACATCATTGCAGATGTTAGTATCAAAGCAAAACGGCTCAAGAAACAAAGTAGAAACCAAACGTTTGGACTTTAAAAACTCACTGCAGGTCAACAACTGCGTTTATTCCGCAAAAAATGCGACACCCCATGTTTCTGCGGCATCAGCAGTCCTGATTTTATGCCTGGAGAGCTGTGTTTCATCTGCCCCGTCGTGCATCCCCAGCCCTTTTTTTCTATCGACGGGCCAGGGTCAGGGAGGAAGACGGCCCCATTCCTCTGAGCCTCATGCCCCAGAACAGCACCAACAGGCGGCTTGCTCCACGCGCAGCACCGCTAACATCTATGGAGGTCTACCGCCACCTACTGGTAAAGAAGTGCAATGATTTAGCAATAATTTCTGTTCATTCCTCAGTTTATATGTAAATTCACTAATTGAAAAGCACTGGATCTACAGCTGTTTAATGAAGAAGCAAATGAAACTTGAACATATTTTTAGTTTAAAATCTGATTTATTTATTTTTCTAACGGAGTTATTCATGGTGATTCACTTTGACGGTCAAGAAATAAATTAATTCACAATATGCTTCAGCAAAGGGATATGTAATGTTTTAAATTTGAAACACTTTTGTACTGATTTTCACATTTATTTTATTATAAATGTAGACATTTTACATATATGTTAATATTTCTTAATGTACTTTAACATTTTATATAAGCTCATGATTATTAAGGTCAGTCTCAATTTATCTATTTATTTATTATCATATCGATGGATGGATGGTACCTATGCTATATACTGTCACATAGACAGATCTACAGTAAAACATAATTAAAATATGATTTTTTTGGAAAATGTAAAAGTTTGTGTTGTATTGTTATCATTGAGGACTTTGTTTACATTGCAGAACCTTTTCAATTCTGCTGTGTATTAAGTCTTCATGTTGTATAAATGTACTCAGGTAAAATCCATATATAATTAATATGTAAAACATTGACACAGTGAAAAAAGAACAGATGTAGTCTGTACAGTGACTGATGTTTTTAATATTTCTATTTTCTTTGTGTTTTCACAAAAGAATGGCGTATAAACTATTTATGGAAAACCAAAGCCAAACATTTTATTTCATAGTTTAATTTTGCTCCCAAAAAAACAGGCTAGAAAGGTAAAGAAGATGAAAAACTCAGTTCAAATTGGACATGTGATTTAACTTGACATTGAATAATGATTTAGGAGACAAAACAGGAACTTTACAATACATTTTGATGCATTGCTGTTTTTTCATTTTTCAGTTTTGCCTTCCAAATTTCAAAGTATAAAAGTATATGAAAAGAACACCAGGACACCTTACAGTTTATTCCGAAGATAATCCAAGCTGATAGCTCATAAAAGCCCCACTAACCACTGCTACTGAATCACTAATATCTACGGTACTATCCTGGTTCTGATTGGAAGAAGCTCTGGATCCACACCCAGGAAATCTTACTAGCAAACATGTTTGGACAAAAAAGCTGGTAAAAATAGGTGGCACTGAGGAATGTTGCTTGTTCACCTTTCAGATCTTCCTTATTTAGCGCTGTTGTGTTAACATCTTCATGTTTGATTAATACCCAGGCCAAATAATGTGGGTCACAATGATACACTAATCTGAATGAGGCATGTCTAGTGAAATGTTATTAATTATCTGTCATACTTCATGGCAAGAGCAGGCAGGTTTCAAACATAATATAATGCTGGTGTGTCTAAATTAGCTCATACCTCTAATATAATCCTGCATACTTATAGCTTGATTTTTATTATTTTGGTCATGCTTTGCAAAGTCATCCAATGTTTCTCTAATGTGACGGATGATTTCTCCTGATCTACTGTTGTCACATGTTCACCTGTAAACTCCCTTTTTGGCCACACCTATAAAGAAAAGCTGATTGTTAGTGAGAAGCTGTCGCTCCAACATGAAGGGCTCTACTGTCATAATCTTCTTTCTGAACACTGTTAACGTCATCGCACTTGGTAAGAATGACTTTTGCTCAAACTCAACTATAAAGTTAAATGTTGTTTATTAAGTGTTATGCTTTGGATGTTATTGCATTCATGAGATATGTGTTAGTGTATACAAAATTTTATAAAATCATGTTTAGAAATAGGAAGCATGTGTTTTTCTTCTGTATCCAGCTTTAAGTGTTTATTTCCTCTTTGTTGTTTTTCAGTTCCCCATGAAATAACATATTTTCTGGGCTGCTTTGAGAATGGCAGCACTGCGGTACAATTTGAATTTGATGGTGAGGAAATGTTATATGTCGACTTCCAAACAGACGAGGTAGTTTACACCGTACCCACCTTCATTGACCCTGACCCTGCCCAGGTTTTAGTTGGTTTGAGTATCCTGCGTGATGCTCATGATAACAAGGAACTGTGTTCAGGTCTACTAGGTGTGTTGAAACACGAAGATACATCTCCACAAAAAGAAGGTAAATCAACCCTAACATTAGTTTTCTGTGATAACAATATTGATCAAATGCTGGTGAAACTTTGGTTTGTCCTTTGACGTTCTTTAGACGCTCCGAACTCCATGATCTTTCCCTCAAGAGAGGTGGAGCTGGAAGTTGAAAACAGCCTCATCTGCTTTGTAAATAATTTCTATCCACCCTCCATCAAAGTCAGCTGGACTAAAAATGGCCACCCAATCTCAGAGGGGGTGTCACTCAGTCGATATCATCCCAATAACGACCAAACCTTCTGCCAGTTCTCAACTTTGACCTTCACACCGAGTGAGGGGGACATTTACTCCTGCACTGTGGAGCATCCCGCCCTGGAGACGCCTACAACAAGAATCTGGGGTAATGAGCTTTATTATATATGCAAAATGTTATTCTGACAAATAAAGTGTGTTTATGTCAATTCATATATTTATTAACTTTCTCTACAGAAGCAGAAATCATCAAAAAGGATGAAAGTCTTTGGCCTGATATTTACTGTGGAGTCGGTCTTGGTGTGGGTTTGTCGGGAATCACAGTCGGAGTGTTTTTCATTGTCAAGAGTCAACATGTAGCATAAGGTTTTAGTTTTTAAATATAGTAAACTGTTACAATCTTCACATACTTGGGTTATGATTTTCATTTGTGTTTTTTTTTTAATCATTTCCTTGTTCATCTTGTTTCTTAGGTCTTGCCATATTCTGTTCATTCTGTATTATTGTCAGAAGGGTGTTGTCATAAAGTTTATTACTTTGTGTTTAGTTTCTTTGTTTATTCTTGTGTTTTCTTCATTGCACATTTGAATTTAGTTGTATTAGATCACTCTCGTTCTTTTACAGTGAGTTTATAGTTTTTTGAGTCTCCCATTTGTACTCGGAACTTGAAAAACCCGACTTCCCAGTCGAAGAAAATCGACTGGAACGCCCCCTGAAGTCGGGCTTCCCACTAAAAGAATAGGAGAAACTCCGACTACCCCTGGTTAGGATTTTAAGACCAACTTTGTGTTATTTTGTGTAAGAAGAGTCCATCTGAAATCATTGTTACATGTAGCACCTCCATCTCTAAGCTGAACAAATTAAAAGTGGTGTTTTCTTGTGGAAAGTAAAGCTTAAAACAATGTTTTTAAGACATGCCATATATTTTGTATACTTTTTGAAAACAAAACATTTTACTCTGCATCAGATGTCATTTTTAAATTTAGTGAACACTGTGTATAATTTTCGTCCTTATTTAATAAACAAAAAATGTTTAGATTTGTGCTTTCTCCTACACTTACATCTGCTTTGAATGTTAAGCTGTTATCCATGATTCTATCGTGGTTTGAAGGGATGTTACCCATACTATGAAGGATCATGATGAAGAACGACACAGTCAAATGGAAAAAAGAAACTTGCACAAACTGGTGGAAACAGAGAAAGAGACGATGAGAAACAAATGAGCGACATGAGGAAGGGCAACAGGAGAGTCAAACACTTGATTATTCCTTACATTTAGATATTAAACTACTAACAACATAGATTATTTGACACTAATAGAATTAGAGAACAAAAAGTGTTTACAGATTAATAAGAACGCCACGCCTGCACTGAAAAAATAACGTTGGTAAATCTATTTCTGTACTTCCTCATTGTTGCTGATCAGAACCAGTTAGCGCTCAGTCGGACCTCTGTTGCCAACCTGACAGGATGCCTCAGGCTCAGGGCTTCTCTGTTTTCCTGGTGCTTTTTCTGACATTTTCACCAGGAGGTAAGGGACTTTAAGCTAAAGCAGTTTGTATTTTTTATTGCTTTCCAACTACAGTTGCTTCTGTGTGGTTCAGATGTAAAATGTGTTTCTGTAATCATTCAGCATTTGCCATTTTAATAAAAATATTTCCTCATTTTTAGGTGCTTACTATTTGTATGTGATGGAACGGTGCCAGTTTAGCTCAAGTGATGGTCATGATGCCGTGTTACTGGATCAGTTTTACTACAACAAAATTCTGGAAGGACAATACAACAGCACTGTAGGAAAAGTGACTGCATACACAGAAAAAGGTGAAGTATATGCCATTATTCTAAACAACGATCCTGGGTTTATTAAGCGCGAGATATGGAAAACAAACCTCTGCAAAAGAAATGTTCCACTGGGACAAAAACTACTAACAGCAGGTAATCTACAGACAAGGCAGCACAAGAGTAATCAAAGTGACATCTTTTTCTGGATGTAATACTCATCCCTGGATTGAATACGGTCTACTGAATCTTTTTGTTTTGTCCATGTTTTCTAGTGGAGCCCTATGTTTGGTTGAGGTCAGTGAAAGCAGAGTACAGTCAACATCAGCAGAAGCTCGTCTGCAGCGCGTACGACTTCTATCCAAAGCAAATCAGGGTGACGTGGCTGAGAGACGGGAAGAAGGTCACATCTGATGTGACATCCACTGACGAGCTGCCCAATGGGAACTGGCTGTATCAGATCCACAGCTACCTGGAGTTCACACCTAAACCTGGAGAGAAGATCGCCTGCATGGTGGAGCATGCAAGCCTCAAGGAACCACAGCTTCATGACTGGGGTGAGAACGTCTGCATGCAGACAGAAAATGTTTATATGAATAAACCATTTTATGCCCAAAGAGTCAGAGTATATTCATCTAGATTGTCTTCCTTATGAAAACACTTCAATGATGAGCACCCTAAATATAATGATTGATTACTGTAGTCAAACCATGTCAGAGTTGACACATTAAGTTTGTGTTTAACTCAGGTGCAGTGTTTAACTTCCTCTCTAAATTCAAAATCTTCTTTGTTTCATAAGGTGGTGATGAATGCATAAATCACTGGCATAAATCTGAAACCAGACATTGAAACAAGGAGCATTTCAGTCTAACTTAGTGTTCATGATGAATCTGATTTCAGAGCCGGAGTCGGATTCAAAGTGGAGTAAGATTGCTGTTGGCTCAGCAGGGCTGCTGCTCGGGTTGCTGTTTTCTGCTGCTGGCTTCATCTATTACAAGACAACATCAAATGGTGAGACAATAGTTCACTTTAAACTTAAAAAACACTTTCATAACTGACTTCAGTATCTAAATTATGTTCATGTTTAAATACATTTTATTGAAACATTTTCTAACTTTTTTGGTGTTTTACCCAGGACGGGTGGTGGTGCCTACAACAGAGGTGAGTCTTAGTCTCTTTATCTGCCCTGTGTGTACCTGTATACACCTGATTATAACTTTATTTATTTGTTATCTAGGATGTATCTCCAGAAGAAACCCTTTAGGCTGCAGAAATGTTGAGAAGCCCCACACACATCTATCAACCACTGGAAACTCTTCTTAATCCCACATTTGAGAGACTTCAAGCCTTCATATGCCTCAAGTTTTTTTATTTTGCCTTTTACACATTTCTGCAGACAAACACTAACATTGCAGCACTTTTATTTTATACTGAACTAAAACACTATTGTAAAACAATAATAAATAAACCTGTTCTTTGTCATTTTCTTCCAGTTCATCACTGGGATGAAACAAATGCAAAGTCATTGTGTTTTGTTTTAAAAACCTTTAATGTCAAGATACTGCCCAAACAATCCACATCACTTTCTAAACCAATCTTCTGACTAATTTGAAATCAAATTAAGATATTACACCTGTTTTTTTAAAAAAAACAACCATACAAACAAGATTAATAATTAAAATGTATTTGAACCTTCTGTGTTTGTTTAACTTTCTAGTAAATGTGTATTTTACATTATACATATTATTATCCAATTAAATTAAAAGTCCACTAACCAACAAGTCAGTGAAGTGACTAAAACACAGGAAAACCAACAGGAGAGAAGTGGCAGCTTTTTTTTTGCTTCTTGGCAGGTACAAAAGCTAAACTATTTTATATTAAAAGGTCACAGAGTGCCTTAAAACCAGTCATATATATATATATTTTTACATTTTACAACTTTTACATGTGATCTAATGTTTTTGATGCCTTTTGCAAGCTCATGTAAAGTTGAATTATTAATGCTTTGGTTATGTTTGCCACATTCTGGGGTTCAGTATTTTTTTTAAAACTATTATGGTGTTGTAAGAAAGAAGAGTTGGCAAGCATGGTTAAGTGAAAATTACTGTCAGGTTTATTATCAACCATATTTATGAGAGGGACAAGATGAAGTTATCATCTTAAAAGCTCTGCCAGTAAACAGATAACACACCTGTTTTATAGAATCAGTATAAGGAAAACAAATTAAGAAAACAAACTGAGGCTATGTGGATCTAGTGAAGAAAATTTCTCTGAGAAAAACGTCAGCATGTTGAGTAAGACAAATTTCCCTCTGACAAAAAATAACATCATGAAATTACTCTACCTTCAAACTATTAAAGTCATAATGTTTTACACTTGTAGTAAAAGCTTTCCACCACATTGGTCACATGTTTCACTGTAAAATCCAGCGTTGGCAACGGCTACAAAGAAAGGCGTGCCATCCACCAGACAGAGTGAGACTATTTTCATTTACAAGCTGCAGGTCCGAAATGAAGCGCTCTGCTCTACTTGTCTTCATTCTCAACTCCTATTTTGTCTTCTCTCAAAGTAAGAACCATTTAGTGTTTTTTGTTCAAGTAAGAGCTAAATGTTTTGTTGAATTTTAAATTCCACTGTATTGTTTTTCAGAGCCCCATGAAATAACCTATTTTGTGGGCTGCTTTGACGATGGCAACACCGACATACAGTCTGAGTTTGACGGCGATCAGATTTTATACATTGATTTCCCAAAGAAGGAGGTTGTGTTCACTGTGCCACCTGTTATAGCTCCTGATCCACAAAAACTTTTGGGTGGATTTCATATCCTAAAAGATGCTCTGGATAATCAAAAATTTTGTCCACCTATAGGTGAATTGGTTGAATATGAAATGAAGCCCGTGTCTGAAGAAAAAGGTAAATAAAACTCAACAGTCGTTTTCTCTTTTGCCGTAGCTGATAAAATGCTGGTGAAACTTTTCTTATCTTTTGACGTTCTTCAGACCCTCCAGACAGCATGATCTTCCCGTCTAGGGAGGTAGAACCTGATGTAGAAAACAGCCTCATCTGCTTTGTGAATAATTTCTATCCACCCTCCATCAAAGTCAGCTGGACTAAAAATGGCGTCCCAGTTAGGAGGGGAGTGTCTGTCGGTGACTACTCTCCTAATAACGATCAAACCTTCCGCCAGTTCTCAACTTTGACCTTCACACCGAGTGAGGGGGACATTTACTCCTGCACTGTGGAGCATCCTGCCCTGGAGACGCCGAAGACAAGAATCTGGGGTAAATGCTTTATTTCTTTCATGCGATATGATGAAAACACAATGTAAATATTTCAATATGGCAAAGCTGATCTATAATATTTCAATTTTTCTTTTACAGAAGTTGAATTTTACAACACAGATCCAAGTCTTGGTCCAGACATTTACTGTGGAGTGGGTTTGGGTCTGGGAGTGATGGGGATCACTGTGGGAGTGTTTTTTATTGTCAAGGGACAACAAGCGAACTGATTTATCTGATGTTAAACATGATTAATATGGACGGTGGAGTAAAATAACATGCATATTTTCATATATAACAACTTGAATAAAAAAAAATCACACTAAACAATTTATCACCTTTAAACTCTATGTAGCGTTTCTCTTGAACTTGCTTTATCAGACGTAAAGCCTGCATATTTGTAAATATTTTAGTGGTTATTCATCTGTGAAATCAGCTATTCAAGCTTTTTGCCATGGATGACAAAATTATAGTTGACTAGAACCACTCACAGGTCACATTACATTTTTATAATTTTTACAGTTTTTCTCAGTTGCTTTATTGCATTTCTCAGAATTGTTGTTCAATCTTCAAATCGTTGTGTCACTTCTGCACATCAAGAAACCAGTTTCTGGTTCCTTTGGGCAAGTTGCAAAGGTATGTGGACATCCAGGCAAGTGATTAAGTACAATTTTCTGCTTTTTCCTACATTTTTAATTGCCTTCGTCATGTTGATCAAAATGTATTATATGGGTCTCTGTTGAGTGGTCTCAACCTACACAACATGAGCATAGGTTTGTAGGATTAAGTCTTTACATGCAAAATGCTTGAACAAGATGTGAAAATATGTCAAGCGTCTTTCTAGTTCCATTATGCATTTATTTTTTATTTTTACTGAACTTATAAATTGCTCCCAGATGCTTAAATGTGTTAAACATTAGATCAACCAATAATAAACTAGTTTTCTGAAACAACTCAAAAGTACCATGAACCATCACATTCCAGAAATGCACTGACGTCATTGAGTAAAACCGAAAATAAAAAAACTGGCAGCATTGTGATTTTTTTTATTGTTTTACATACTCAAAAATAAACTGAACATGCAAAAAAAAAATTATTGAGTTGTCTGACTTTTTTTTGCTTATGGTAGATCTAAAACTTAGAGAAGGGTTTTGTGCATGAAGCAAAAAAATGTTTTAAGATTTTTTTTGGATTATATCATTACTACTCCTATTACTGTCATTATTATTATTATTATTATTATTATTATTATTATTATTATTATTATTATTAAATCTATAAGAAAGCATTTCCTTGTCCATAGTGTTGTATGTGTTGAAATAAATGATCATTTGAAATGAAACTAATAATGTAACAATGTGGACTGTTATGCTCCTATTTTTCCTGATGTGTCATTTCTTTCCCGTGTCTGTATGTTTCTTTTACTACGTTTAGAAATTGTAGTTGTAATTGCAACATTTAACGATATAATTTTAATATCGGAGCAAGACGTAGCGAAAGTTTACAAATCTGGAAAAAACTCAGAAAGCTCCATCTATTTAACAACCCTGAACAAAAATCAAACATGGAGAACCAACATTTAGTATTATCAAAACAAGAATCCAGAGAAACCCCTATTAGTTTATAAATTACTAATTCTTATTGAACATTTTAGTTTTGTTTTGTTTGTATTTCCTTCTAATTCACAAAAGACATTTTGAACTGCTGAAAATGTGCTATATAAATAAAATGACCTTACCTTACCTTTTATATTGACTCTTTCAATGAATGATTAACCAATGGTGACTTACCATCTCCTGATACAGAGATAAAAACAAATCCTGTTTTGATCAGCAAAGGTGCCAATTGTGCAAGTGTGACAATGTGGGCAGCCATCTTTTGTTTTATATTGACTTGTCAATAATTAACTTATCTTCCACCTCCTAAAATGGAGGTGGAACATGTGTTTTTATTGGTAGAGGTGCTATTCCTTTAAAATAGTAATGTTGATAAATCTACTGCTGCACTTCCTTGGTTATGCAGAATCGTATATTTGCCAGTAAGACGTCAGTCAGCTTTCTGTCAGCTGACAACATGTGGACTCAACGTTTAATTTTCTTGGAGCTTTTACTGGTGTTTTCATCAGAAGGTATGTGATTTTTGGTCAACATAATCTTTATTTGCGGTGCTGCTCTTGTACTCACATACTCATTCTCATAATTGGAATGAGTTCACCTGATTTATTGATGTTTTTTTTTTCTTATTTCTTAGGTGCTTTTTATGGCTATTATTTAGGCCGCTGCCAGTTTAACTCTCCTGACAGCAATGATGTTGTGTTAGTGGAACAACTGTACTTCAATAAGATTTTACTTGGCCAATATAACAGCACTTTGGGAAAAGTGGTGGCGTTCATTGAGAAAGCCGAAGCTTATGCAGATATGCTCAACAAGATGCCAAGATTCCAGGCACATCAAATATGGAAAATAAACCGCTGCAAAACAGGTGCACAACTGGCAAATGAAAATCTACCAGCTGCAGGTAATTTTCACAAGATGGTAAAAAAAAATTGTACAGATATTTGGAAAAATATGTTCTTATATATCTAGTTTTAACAGATTAATAAGTGTTTTAAATGTAAAAGCATATAAAGGTGCAGTAGTGTGACTCTTCAAATGTTATGACTATGATAAATATTTGTCATCCAATGACAAATTTAGTCTTTGTTTTATCCAGTGGAGCCCTACGTTTGGTTGAGGTCAGTGAAGGCAGAGTACAGTCAACATCAGCAGAAGCTCGTCTGCAGCGCGTACGACTTCTATCCAAAGAAAATCAGAGTGACGTGGCTGAAAGACGGAAAGAATATCACATCTGGTGTGACATCCACTGACGAGCTGCCCAATGGGCACTGGCTTTATCAGATCCACAGCTACCTGGAGTTCACGCCTAAACCTGGAGAGAAGATCGCCTGCATGGTGGATCATGCAAGCCTCAAGGAACCGAAGCTTTATGACTTGGGTGAGAACGTCTGAAAATAAAATACTTTTTTTTGTTTGCACTCAGTTTCAACTCTTTAAATCTTTCGTACATTTACAGTTGTACTCACATTCACATAAAAGGTATTCAGGAAACAAACTCACTTCTACTTATATTAACCAATATTGCAGTACACACACAATATTTAACTAAAGGGACAATTTACTGTGCTTAACTGGGAAATTACTGGAATATTTCTCCAACTGTCTGAAGTTCAGACATGATTTGACCTGGAATTAAACAAAAAACAACAAGCCATAAATAAATAACACTTGTAGAAAATGTCACAGTCCCAAGAACCTGCATCTGTTTTTACCCAAACCCAGGTTTTCATGTCTTAAATCCACCCTGATACAATCAGGCATCTCGAAAAGCACATACATGTGAGAGTAAACTCAATTCATACTCAAACCACATACTTATCTGACCGTCTTTTTATAACATTACAACAAAATGTGGACACTTGCTTCAATGCAAGATTTGCAACTTGGTTTTTTGAACATTTTAGCTATCTAAAAAAGATTATGTGAGTTTATTCTGACTCTAAGCATAAAGCATAATTTTTCATATCATCCAAACGTTTATTGATTTGGCTTTCCTTAATGTGTCATTTGTGCTATTACTGATTTTATAACAGTGCCTGGGTGACTTATGGTATAAATATGGACGTGAACTTTCATTAGTATGAATTGGAAGCATTTAAATCTAACATTGTGTTTAAAATAAATGTTTTTTCAGAGCCTGAACCGGATTCAGGAAAACACAAGATGGTTGTTGGTTCAGCTGGGTTGCTGCTGGGTTTATTGTTTTCAGTCATGGGGTTTATCTTCTTCAAGAAGAAATCAATTGGTGAGAGAGTCATTCAAAGTAATAGAAATACCAAAATACCATCAAAATCATTTAAATATTTTATTTTTATAGTGTTTATTAAAAGTGGTACATCAGTTTCATTGATTTTCTTGCTTCTTTTGACAGCAGAGCGGGTGAGAGTGCCAACATCTGAGGTATGCTCTTAAATTCAGTTAATATATTAATCATTTCTAGAAACATTCATCTAATGCCGTAATATTTTTATATATTCTGCAGGAGATTCCTGAAAACAACCCTTAAGTTTACGTTTAGCTGTCACAGGATCAATGGCGAAAGGTGCTGAGATTGATTGCAGCTTCTCCTACCACGAAACACTCGACAAGGAGCCAAGCCTTGACCAGTGTTACTCCAAATGCAGACCTTAAAAGCACATTGTGTTAACATTGGTTAAAAAAAATACTTCAACTTAATGCTTTGTTTGGCATTTTTTTACTGGACACACTTTAAGAACTGCAAGGCCAGTTCAATCTGATTTTAAAGTTGTGCAAAATGTCCAAAAAGGTAGTGAAATGTCCCCTTTATTCTTTTGATTGATCATACAATAATCCAAATTATTGACGGGTAACATTTTAAAATTAATCTGTGATGTGACAAAGCATATTTAAAGGATGTCATTTTATTAAAAATCAATGTAAAATCCACTGCATCAATTAGATTTTTGTCTTTTAGAGAATAGAAAAAGTGGAAAATTTGGGAAAACCAATCAGTTTTATTTTTGGCATACTTATCGAGTCAAGATCAAATTATAGACTTTTCCACGGCTGTGTAAGAACCTTGCTCAAAGCTCCTGATTGAATGTATTTGAAATGTATTACCCATATCAGTATTTTTTTTATTTCTGCAAGCATAAAAGTGTGTAAGCATACTGCTTAAAATCTATATGAATGTGTTCATTTTTAAATGAATGTTAGAACAAGATGACTTGTACAACTCATTTTCATGTATATTCCTGATAATTATAAAATAAATTTGATAATTAGCAGAAAAAATACATTAAAATGCTATTTGTTTTCACCTTTATATGTGACATTTAATCAAGTAGTATTAGGCCAGTTGGTAAGAGTGAATTTCTTTTTCAGCTTTTGAATATTTTCCTTTTGTTTAACCCTCTGTTGTGCTTGATAAGAGAAGTCTATAAAGCACATAAATACACACAGCAGCAGATGTCAGAATGTGTTTACCTACATTATCTTCTACTTTCGCCTTGGGCAAATTAAAGTACACACTTCAAACATAAAGTTCATGCTAAGAGAAGAACAACCTGTGATAGTTGATGTGACATTAACTGAGGAATCTTCCAGAAGAAAATGGTTACATCAGACCTAATAATAAACCTTTGAATTTAAAGACAAAGCTGGAGAGATTGGTGCTCCGTGGTGAAACATGCATCATACTAAACTTTACCTGTCAGTTAAAAAAGAAAAATCATTGCTATTTGCTAAATAATTCATATTAAAACTAAATCAAATGTCACAACTTAACGTATCTATTGTTTGGCTTCTGAATAATAACTTCAGCTCTCCCTAGAGGCGTCTCCGAGACATTACATAAACAAAGTCCATCCCAAAAATTAAGTACAGAAATTAGCAAAAGCCCCAGATATTAGATTAGGAAAACAGCATTTTCAGCGTGCCAGACAAAATTTCACAGATAAATGCGTCTTTTATATAAGTTGTTCTGAATGACTGACAAATTAAACCCTAATATCTGATCCGTAACTAGAAGGAAACATTCGCCTGTAAGACTCTACGCAGGGCTTAATAGCCCTCCGCTCTGCCTGCGCCAACGCCGCCTTTATGCTCCAAAATAATGAGCCGCTTTGCATTTTATTTCATTTTTCTCTTCTTGTTAATAAAAAGCCCGAGTGTGATTTTATTCCTGTGTTTCGCCATTTATGTTTACATCCATTACAGAACCCGCTAGGGAAGGAAAAAGCGGCGTGGCTGAATCTGATCAATGCAGGCAAAGTGATGATGAGGATGTAGGTCGTTTCGTTCAGCATCCGTCTCATTTATTTACAAACACGTCACGGATCTCTCGTCCTTGTCTCTACGGCTGGAGGCCCAAGTGATGGATTGTGCTGTTCCCGTCCCGGAGGTCGACACCGAAAACCAGGTCAGACGGGGGTGGTACCTCACCGGGCACCGATAAGACCCACAGAATGTTTGATAAGAGATGTCTATAAAGCGGAGACACAGAGCTGTGTGCTACAGTCCAGATAGACGGTAGGACCCAAACCAGCTGGTAAGACTCAACTCCTTATTTCATCCAAAGGATATTATTTGTTTTACCCTACAGATGAAATACTCCGAGCCAGCTAGAGAAGCAGTATCTTTAAATTAATTATGTTTTTAATTTATCACAAATTTCTGTTTAACCAAAACTTAGTTGATATCATATGAAGGAAGACGCGGTGGAGTGAAAGGTGAAATATTTCATTCTGATTCGGCAATAGGGATCTGATAGAGATTAAATGCATGTAATACATTTATAAATCCCCTAAAAGCAGGAATATTTCCATCACTAAAATTAATGTAGTGTAGTACATCTATGATGATTATACACAGAGAGAGACATCATTTATATTTTGCCCAGATTTGATTTATTGTTGGTCTCACCGGTAAATATGTGCAAAAAGCCTGGAAATAAATTTTCAATCACAAAAGCTTAATTTTGCTGTATTTTAGAAAATGTAACTTTTTATCCCATGAACCCAGAGGTGGTCCTAGCCTAGCCTCTCTGACGTCCCCCCACCCTGCAACAAAGTTGTTGACTGGGGGGACTAAGAGTTGGGGCATTTGGGGACCGTTTGGGAGAAGAGGGAGGTGTGCCGCCCCCCATAAGATACCACTCTGGAAGGCTGCCCATGTCGCCCATATTGAAAGCCACCACTGCCGGTACCTGTACCATTACCTTTAAAAAATAAATGCAACCAAAGATTAATTGCTTAAACATTACTTTTAAGTTGATCTGGTTTCTTGCAGCTTCCTATTAATTAATTCAGGAGTTACTTTTTCCTGGGAAAAAATTCTGAATATAATGTAACACAGTGAACTATTTCTTTCAATCATTTTCCATTACGCTGAATCAGGACCCTGTGGAGGATTGTTGTGCCTTACTTCCTAAAAACTAATCAAAATCCTGGAAATCCTCTCAGATGTGGCGTGCTAAGATCAGCAGCAAACAGGGTGCACTTACTCAACACAAGAATTTATTACTGATACATGCAAACAACACAAAACTAATTCAGAGGGGAACTGATCAGTGCAACCCCAAACAACACCCCACCACTACTGCATTAACCCAATGCTGCCCTGGATAAATGACGCCACTGTGAGGCCCTTTATTTATGTTTTTCCACCACGTTAAACATACTAAGTGTTGTTTTACTAATAATAATAATAAGAGGACTGCCAACCATTGCCCTAGCATTAATTTATTATTTTTTTGAAGACTGATTTTATTTCCCATGCTAAATAAATGTGCTTATATCAGCGGCAGTATTTTCCTCTGCAATAAAGAGAAAGTCCTATTTATTTTAAGGCTTGTTAGACTATATTTGTTGTCCATGTCTGTGTTTATTTGTAAGTTTTATCACCAGTTGCTGACCTACATGTTAATTTTAACTCATGGTCAACTATCTTGGCCTTAACCTGCTTCTTTTTAACATGCGTGTTTGTTTTTCTGTTTCCTCCACAGCTCTTATTTGACACAGATTTATCTTCATCCTAATGGGTCTCGTCCTGTCTGCCTGGCTGATCGGCCCAGCAGCTGACCGCGTCCCCTCCTCTTCATCATCCTTCCCTCCGCTGGCCGTCCCAACATCGTCTAGAGTCACCCTCATCCTGAGCTCCTCTGCAGCGTCTCCAGGAGACAGACGCTCACACTGGAGCTCGCAGCACCACTCTCCTCACTTCCAGCTCTCTCAGTGCAAGCAGGAAGCGACACGCGCACCTGCCGAGCTCAGCAGCGATGGGGTCAGGGCCGAGGTGGGCGTGGAGAGTGGGCTCCATGTGTGGGAGGTAACTTGGAACCCTGAGCACAGAGGAAGTCATGCAGTCATAGGAATTTCGAGGCAGGACTGCCCTCTGCAAGACTCAGGTTATAAAGTTCTGGTGGGTGGAGATTCCCTGTCATGGGGATGGGAACTACAAACCAATCAGCTCTGGCACGGCGGAGAAACTCTGGCGTGTTTTCCGTGTGAAAGGAGGGTTTCTCTTAGATTGAAATCCTCTAACTCACTACACAGCAAAGAGACAGATGCACCTCTCCTTATTCCTGAACGCGTCCAGCTGGTCCTGGATGCTGATGCGGGGACTCTGGGGTTTGCTGTCGATGGCAGCTTCCTGGGTGTTGCATTCAGGGACCTTCCTCCTGGAGTGGAACTGTTCCCAGCAGTAAGCAGCGTGAGAGGAGGAGCACGGATTGCATTGCGCTATCTGAACGGAACCACGCGTAAGTGTCCAACACATGAATTGTCTTGATAAACCAAGTTTAATACTGACATATTTGTTTCTACTACATTTGCAGGTAATCCTCCCGCCCTGAAGGCTCTGTGTGGACTATCAATTCTGCAGAATTTAGGTCAACAAAGGCAGAACCAAGTGGACAAACTGCCTCTACCACCTTTACTCCAACACTACCTGCTTTCCTCTTTCTAATTCCCTTGCACATTTACATACAAATGTTTTTGTATTTTCTTTTAAATTCATTTGTTTGTATTGCTTATGTTATTTATTGATAGTTTTATAATTGGCAAACTCACTTTGGATAATAAAAACCTCCACGCAAGCCTAATAAAGACTCCTTCAACTGCAAACACATGTAAATAGTCTGAATGTTTGTTTTAATAAACCAGACTTGCAGATACATAAACCTTTTCCAGGTATCAGATCTTTCTTTTTTCCTTTTATTTCTGAAATATTGAAACGCTGTCAGTAGAGCTGCCTGTTCAAGCTGATAGATGGAAATGTCACACTAAGCTTAAAAACAGTCATGCTGAAAACGATATTCTTAAATTGTTGAAATTGATTTGAATAGTTAGAAAACTGAAACAAATGTGATCTCAGGTTGTGATCCAGAAAATGCTACTTTTACTTTTGTTGTAAGAAACATCCAATGATGAGTGCAAATGTATCTTGTTGTTTATTTTACAGCATATTTTTTTGCTCACATGTTATTGAAATGATTAAAACTGAAAAGTTCTAGTTTTCTTAATGTATTATTCTTCTCTAAATGTCATCGAATTCATAGTTTTAAATTAAGTTAAGCACAAAATTATCCACACCTGGCAGATTTAAATTTCATATTGTTTTCTTTCCACCAACAAGTGCATTTCTGATGTGAAATGCAATAGGTATGTCTCAAAAGGCAATAAAGCAATGTAAAGGGAGTATTGGTTTTGAAAAAACAAAACAATTTTAATAAAAAAAATTACATGTCAAAAATTATTTACAACGATTTCCATAATCAATGGAAAATGTTCATTGGTATTACAGGTAATTAGCCCTTCCTTTTACTTCTTATTACTGCTGGCCACCTCATCCTCTTCCCACAGGTTCAAATTCCAGTTCAAGTTTGAACTTTGACTGGGCCACTCCAAAATGCTAGTACAACCTCAAGTTCAAACTTTTATTTGGAACTTATCTACCGATTTCTGCCATCCATACATGCATGTGTACTGATGCTGACATGTCATTTCTGTATCACTGTTTGTTTTTAGGTAATACTTGATGGTGCAATTATTACTCCACCAGTATTTGATGAATTGTGTCTGAATCGCTATTGTTATACTAAATGATTTACACAGATTTCTCTTATTGGACATAGTCTGGATATTTTTTATGTGTTAAAAAATTGTGCAAAGAGAATAAAAGCTTCGAAATTGGAGAACAGAGAGTGAAATTCACCTTCTACTTCTTTGTCTGTCCTTTTTAGACCATTTTAGACTGAGAATTGATGCAAATACGTTCACCAAAACAGCATGTGACTAAAACCTTAATGAATATAAATAACAGTCTCAAAATACTTTAAGTTTATGTGAATATTTTGTAAATTTATTAAAAAAAACAGAAGCACCAACTGCTGCCAGAGGCATTAAATATTTTTTAGACGGGGATGGGGAGAGCGTTGTTGCCACGGCAACAAAATGAGCGAAAAGGCTCGCGAGAGAAAAGGCACATTGAATATTCGGATTTTGACCACATATAAAAACTTTCTTCGAAATAATATAACAACTGGTGTAAGAGGCGTATGGAAAAGTTTAAAGTTATTTTCATTCAGGACATAAGACTGAAGTAGGTATGTAAATAAACACGGTTTGACTTAGTGAGGAAAGAAAAAACATTTGTGACCTAGCTAAGACGAGCTAGCTTACTTGCTACCGGCTCTCGTTCATAGATAGTGGTTGGGTAAAGGGTATTTATACAGAATCTTTTTTTTTTTTTACTTTATATTTTCAAAGAGTGGAGTTATGCATTAGTATGATAATTTTTCAGTCAGATTAAATGTTTTACAAATCTCAAACGGTGCTGAAACAATTCTGACTTCACGGTAATTCAGTTCAGGTTTGGCAATTTTAGGTACTTTACGGTTCAGAACTACAGCTGATCAAGTCAAGTCCAGACTTTTTACTGAACTTACAAATAAGACCTGCACTCATAATGTAGGGATATAACTAATATTTCTAACGTATTCCTATCACCTACTATTAAAACATATTAGAAGATTTTTTTAAAAACATATGTAAATAATTAAAAATAATTCAGTAGCTATACAAGGCATCAATCAATTAAATAATTACAACACAAAGAGGGGGGCAGTGATCGAAAATATGTTTGGATACACAGCTTAAGTTGAGTATTTATAGAGTTTATTCATCTTTATTATTTTAGTGTAACATTTCCTGCTGTTGTCTTGTCACAGGTATTCTGTGACCTGTTGCTACAGGGGTCAGAAAGTGATTGTCTTTAATTTTCAACTCAAAACTTGGACGTCCTGATCACGCCGCAGACCTCCTAGCGGAACATCAGAAACATCCCAGTAATTTGCTTTTCATCTTAACCTCTCTTCCTTAGATTTTACTTAAATGACCAACACAAACATTTAGAGTACAAATGCTTCTTTTAAGCATTTTTACTCTAAATGCTTAAAAGGAGCATTTAGAGTCATCCTGTATCACCTTAATTCAGCTCTTTCTAAACAGACGAATGGCAGCCACCCTTGAGGATCCAAGAGGAGCCATAGGTTTCAGGGACCCTGACAGCAATCTTGATGAAGAGGAGGAAGATGACACAGCAGCAGTAAGATGGACCTATTTACTAAGAGAGGCATTGATTCTAAAAGCATCAGAATAAACTCTGCGATATTTACATTTTTATTTCTAGGTTTTATTGAGTGTTTTAGTGCAGCGGGGACAGTTGGGCCTTTGTTTCTACGATAGTGGAGACTCGTCTTTACATTATATGGTAGATTCTCCTGATAACTATGAGCTTCACCTGTTGTCCAGAGGTAAAGAACAGACCTTTCACTCTTGCAAATTAGGTTACAGCTTCATCTTTTAAGCAGCGTCTTATGTTTCATCTCCTATTAAACTCCAACTCATCTCTCTTTCCTGTTGTGAAGTCATTCAGGAGGTCAGGCCCCACATAATCCTAACCAGTGCAAAGCAGGAACGCTGCTTGACCCAATATTTGCAGCAACTTGGTGAGCTCTGAAAAAACAGCACTAATATCAGATAACAAGTGAAAAACAAAAATGTTAAGTATTTTTGTTTGAATGCAATGTTGGATGAGTTGTTTCTGTGTCAAGGGAACTTACTGAGATTAGAGATGTTTGACAATGTTGCTGGTAAATGTGATAAGTGGAAAACTGATTGTGAAAGCGGTTGTGCCCTGTTTTTCCAGCTTTCCTAATCAGGAGCTGCAGGCCTAGGTGAAACTAGTCAGTAAATCAGGATTGTTCTAAACTCATGCTTTGGATTTCAGGTTCTGACCCACACTATAAACCCGAGGTGGTTACTTATCCATATGTTGACTTTGGTAATAAAAACATACACAATCACAAACTCCATACTTCCTCTTAAGCTTTCATGCTAAAGATTTGTAAAAAAAAAAAAAAAAAAAAAAAAAAAAAAAAAAAAAAAAGCATAATATTTTCCAAAAATGCTATCTTGAGCATTGTTTTGCTCATATTTTCCAAAAGAAATGAGCAATTTTTTAAACATGAAATTGCTCATCATGTTTTTAAATGTTGCAGGTCTGGAGGTCGGTAAGCAGAGGCTTCTTTCCGCCCATCTGCCTTTCCTCCCACCTTGCATTTCAGAGAGGGACAAAATGTCTTATCTTTCCTCCTGTATCACCTTTGACTCACCCTTGATGGTGAGCCAGATCTCTATATGTTACCCTGTCCTTATAGCCCAGTTATAAATCAGTCATGTTCTAGCATTTGAAAAGGTCTGTTCTCCTGCTGGGAAGCTTAGGGCAGTGGGAGCTCTGCTGAAATGTCTGGACAGGAGGAGAGTGGGAGTGGAACTGGAAGACAGCACTGTTGGAGTCCCAATCCTGCAATTTCATGCCTACACACTGTGAGACACACAAACATGCAGTTGGACACACTCTCAGGCACCTTAAGGTGTCTGTTTATTTTCCATTATGAGGCCCTTTAAAATGTTTCTTGGAACTTCAAGTCAGCTGCCCCTTTGACAAAATGTTTCTGAGTTTTATCCCAGTTTACTTCCATTTTGTTCCTGTAAACAAAACATTACGTGCCAGTATGTTTAACCCATCTGTATGAGTTAATATCTCCTGGTATTTTAGAATTTTCATAAATTATGGAAATAAATTAAATAAAATATTTGTAAAGCTCATTCATAATTCAATGTAAATTTAAATTACTTCAGAAGATTTTATATTACACCATGTTTCCGTTTATTGTTGTTCTAAACCCTTTTGTGCTGCTTTTCTGTTATTCTGAGAAATTTCTGAGTGATTATAACATTTGATTAAGCCAAAAAAAAAACTAGTGATTTAAATGGCTCAATAAAAGGAGGTCAAAATTTTTGCCTGCTTTTTTTCTCATTATAGTAAAGAAGTGGTTTACATCGACCGGGACACCTACAGGCAAGTATTCAAAATGTACCTTTGAAATTAATCTAAGCTTTAGAAACAATCTGTTATTCAACCCTGGCCTTTAGTGTTCTGTAGTCGCCATGTTTATCTGACAGAAAGACACCTGATCGAAGTTAGTGAACAATTAGTTTCTAACATGGTAATGACAAATTATTCATCATCTAAATCAGGTTATTTAAACAGAGAGATGCAGCATGGACTGGTAAACATACAGAACTTTACATTAAAAACACCCAATTTTAAAATAAGTCAATTTAATTTCTTCTAAGTGTGTTTGATTGTAATACTTTCTGCTTTATCATTTCTTTCTTTTCACTATAAGTTCAGTTAAATAAAATAAAATAAAATAAATGCATTCTACTTTAATGAGTAGGACGGTAAATCAGTTCAATTATGCTTAGCTTTGTGTGTGACGGTGTGTTTTTTTCTGTCCTAGTGTACTTCAGATCTTTAAATCGGATCTGCACCCATCAGTCTACAAACTGCAGTCAGGTGAAAAGGAAGGACTAAGTCTCTATGGTAAGCGCCTCAGATGGCAGAACTTTTCTGATGTCATTTCCTCTTATTTCAAACGGTTTATATAAATACATTTTTGTTTGTGTGCACTACAGGAATATTGAACCGATGTAAAAGCAAATTTGGATCCAAATTGCTACGGTGAGAAATTATATTTTCAGTGGCACAAAATAAAACAAATTCAGGTATGATTATCTTCAAAATTATGAACAACCTGACTGGACATTTTGTCACCCCAAAATATTTTTGTTTGGTATATTTCAGTGTAAAGAAATACTATTTTTCTTGCTTTTGTCTGACAGGCAGTGGTTTCTTCGACCTACACAAGACCTTGCAGTGCTGTACAGAAGACAGGAAGTGATTCGTTTCTTTACTTCACCTCGAAACTCGGACGTCCTGAACACCCTGCAGGCCTCGTTACGGAACATCAGAAACATACCAGTAACTAACTTTGAATCTGTCTACTTTCACCCTTGTGTTTACAAATGG